GTAGATAATATATCTATACTTGGTTTGGATCAAGGTTGTATTTTACTCTTTTCGGCAACAGTTCTTTCTCGAGTAAATATATATTTTCTTTTTTTTTTGTTTGATTTTCAAAATTTATATAAATAGAATTCTTCAATACAACGAACAATTATTGGTGGTATACAATTAAGTGATGGTGATCAAAAAGTAATGAAATTTTAATTTATATAAATATTAAATCAAAATTTGTTTGTTTTTCAATCTAAAAGATATATCATCGTCATCCATCATGTGTAAAAATTACTCATGCTAGTATTAATGCAACACGATCATTATGTTGTAAGTTTGAAAAATTTTCTATTTGGTTTAGGTTTTTTTTATATTTAAATAATATTTAAAATACTAAAATAGGCTTTGTAACACGTTCAGGTTAGCTTTTGCTAAATTGCTCTATTATTATTTTATGAAAAAAACAATCTATTTCGAAATTATTTATTTATTTATTTTTATTTTATTTTTAAAGAATCACATCATTATGAGGTATTTGTTGCTGTAATTGGTTTACCTAATTCAGGACGTTTATTTTCACTTAAACTTTCACGTTCAAATCCAATTCGAGCATATCTTGGACCTGATGATATTGTTTTATTACTTTACCGAGATGGTTTGACCTATATTTTCAAACAAAAATAAAAAATACATGAAAAACTTTTATTTTATTTTTTTTTTAGCTGTTACTGTATTTCGAATGCCGTATGGTGAAAATGTTCCGGTTTGTTATTTTGAAACCAAGAAAAAATAAAATATTTTTGATTTACTCAAAAGAAAAATTTTTTTTTTATTCTTAATTTAATAGGATAAATCAGTTGCTGTTGATAGAGATGCACAAATAAATGAATGTATTTATTATCAATGGGATACAATTCAACAACGACTACATGTTATACAAAAACGTTCATCAACATTCATGAAAACAATACCACCAAATGGTTTTAGTCCATTAGTTTATACAGCTTATATTATAAACTCAAAAGGTCAATTTGATAGTATTGTAAGTCAAATTTCGATGAATAAAATTGAATATTATTTTGATTATAGATGACACTTGATTTTGATTTTAAATTACCAGGTAAGAATATTAAAAAAAAAAGTTTTTTCTCTAATATAGAGAATTCATTTTTAGAATCTTCATCAAGTCATTCAATTTTTGAAATTCTTTCAAATGATACAAATCTTTTTCTTTGTTGGCAATCTACAATGACAGTAAAAATGAACTTTTTTAAAATTAGATTTTTTATTTTAAGAAAAATTTCTTTTTTAAGGAAGAAACTGACAAAGTTGAATATGCAGTTGTTTCACTTGGTCATGGTTTGTTTGATTGATTGATTGAATTTTTTCTTCTTTTTAATTTAAATAAATTTCTTCTAGGTCGTAGTTTTTATGTATCAAAATCATTAAATCAAGGACATTGGGAAATATTTCAATCACGTCGAGTTCATTTTGGTCTCCTTGGTAAATTTTAAGATTCTTTTTTTTTTTAAGATATAAACTTTATTTTCTCTCTTATTTAGATGGTGATTATGTTTTTGTTGTTTTACGTGGTGAATTTGTTCATTTACTTAATTTTAATGTTCAATTAAATTTTATTAATCATCTTTGTTTTCCCAATGATACAATTAATCTACCATATGATACAAAATATACAACACAACGTGGACTTATTACAAAAACATCAACATTACTTTATGAAAAAAAAAATCTTTTTACATATACTATTGAAATATGTCCAAATGAACTTATTAAAACAATATCATCAACAAATATGGAATCGATTATTGCATATACATTAGTTGCAGCAAAAAATAATAATATTTCAGGACAACTACTTGAACAAATTTTATTGAATATGTATGATGATTTAAATACAAAAGCATATCTTAAAGAAATTCTTACTGGTAAGTTTTGTCTATTGTGTTTCAAATTTTAATT